GTTCGACCCCAGTCTTGCCGGGTTATTTATTATTTCGACACTCCTGCACTTGAGAAAATACATCAATCTTTTAGTCGTGTCATGAGTCTTCAGAATGCATTTCATCATATTCACTAAAGTTGTTTTTGAAAAATAATATAAATTATATTTTGAAAATTTATTTAAAAATTTAAATTTTTTAATTAAATTGTTTCTTTGATATAATATTACAACTTTAATAACTAAATAATCATAAATATACATTTTTATTATTTATTTAATGAATTATATAAATTATATTATAAGATTTTATCAATTAATTTAAATTTTTGAACTAAAATATTTTTTAGACTAAATCACATTCACTTAGTGTCATATCATATGATATGACTAATCTTGTGATCCAAATAACAGTGTCAGCATCGTACATCTTATACATATCCCACTTAAGCTCTGCATCACGTCCTGTAGTCGAGAACAAACTGTTTTAAAAATGTAAAGGTTAGTCAAATTATATGCCAATAATTGCAGCCTGTTTTGTAGGGCTAGACAGGATTTTGTTCTGGGAAAATTTACAGACAGAAAATGGACCTCAACAGACTACAAAGGTACATCGCATGCTGCTGTGACGAGTTTGGAGTGATAAATCAGGTTCACCAATTTCAGGCCCCTACCACCAGACCGAAGACCTGCTATTCCAGCCCACAGATATGCATACCTGTTTACACGTGCCACAAGCAAAAGGTCACACTACGGTATAAATAACTTTTTGACAATGTGTCATGGACGGCTCCTTTCAGAGTTTCAGTTCTCCTTTTCAGGTCCCATAATTCTGGTAGGTAGGGTACCGAGTGAAACACCTTTCCACGGGAGGGAGAGTAGAGCAATAATATTGACGGATCGTGAAGGTTTTACCACAGCTATTAAATTCAATCTGCTCCGGTGAATCACTTCGAACCTGATCGATATAGTAGTTAGATCAATCTAGATAATATAAAAAAACCAGCAAAAATAAAAAAAATAATCAAACCCAGTTGATCTAGGTGAGTCAACCCATAACCTAAACAACACGACTGAATTCAGATGATAGTGGACATTGTGTGTATATATGAACTTTCCTCTGAGTTCCTGACATCAAAAGAAAAGCAAGACAACCAATTTCTTGCTCTAACTAATTTCTTTGAAGTAAAACTGAAGAAAGGGAGATAAACAACTGAAGAGGATGAAGACTCAACCAAAATTTCTACTGTGTTTTTCTCAATAAGTCACGTTCAACACAGTTCACGTAAAAAAATCTAATTATTTATAAAATTGTCATTATATTTTATTAATATTATGAATGTTTTATTGAACTAAAAATACCCTAGCCACCATGGCTAACTTCTTCTTCTTCTTCTTCCTTTTCTTCTTGAATCTTCAACTGGCCCGTAAAAAATAATTTAAGCCATCATTTTTTCTTTTCCTTTTTCTTCTTTTTTCCTTTTCAATCTTCAGCAAGACCGAAAGAAAGAATTGAAACCATTATCTTTGAAATTCAAGTGAATCATATGTTTGTGAAGAGATGGAAGAAATGCTTACAGTGGAAAAGTTTCCATCTCCAGGCCTTGCCTTGAAACTTATATGTTAAGCACAAGAGATGCACAATTAAAACGTCTAAAATCTACACCAGCCTATAATTCAACAAGTACTTGTCAAGGTTACAATACACAACATCTTATAAAATCTTCTACCATATCTCTTCACTCAATAAAATATATATATTTATTTAACATTTAAAAGGTCATCTGTATTATATTTATCATGGGTAAGTCGTAAATACCTCTCAAAACATTATTAAAAACCTCTCATGAATTAATCATTATATTATCATAATAGCACCATCATCACATGAGAGTGCACCTTTTTTTAGGTTCATCTTCATCGGTTTCTTTATTTTTTTCACCCCCCTTAGTCAATTTTTTTTTAAGGTTCTTAACACATTTTTTCTAGTATTTTCTTTAAGGCCATATATTTTAACTTTTTATTGAAATTACCGAGACATTATCATGAATAATAACAATAATACCTAACTGACTTAGATTATATTCATTTTATGGCAATTCTTAATTGCTACATATTTATTTGATATTATACAAAATCCAGTATGACCACATATGTATTTTAAGGTTCTTAACACATCTTTTCTAGCATTTTCTTTAAGGCCATATATTTTAACTTTTTATTAAAATTACTTAGACATTATCATGAATAATAACGATAATACCTAATTGACTTAGATTATATTCATTTTAGGACATTCTTAATTGCTACATATTTATTTGATATTATACAAAATCCAGTATGACCACATATGTTGTATCAATGAAGTAAATCTAAAAACTAAGTTCAATTATTGTTATTTTGTTTTTACTAAAGCATAACATAATAGGAAAACCCTATTATTAACATTATAAATAACTCTAATAAAAAAAATTGTTGTACTTTTCATACAAATAAACAGCATTAATATTTATTTGTGTACGATAGCATGCAAACACCTTAAACTTTAAATGGCTAAAATACTCAAATATTGATTTATTCTCATCAACCACTTTGTGATCATACTCAACAACTGTACTTGGATTTAATTTGAAAAGACTCTTCATACGAATCAAATAATCACTTTAATACTTTTCATATAGCTACATATACCTTATGATACGAGGTATCATACGAAAAATCCCTATAAATAGTAACTTGAATTGTCACAATTTTAGTATTTATTTTTTCTTTAACAATGATCAACATCATAATGAGTTCTTTATATGCCATTACTTAATAAGCTTGGTTTGAAATGTTTGTCTTCCCTCCAACTTAGTAGTTAAACCTGAAATCTTTCAAATAAAAAATCAAATCATTATATATCATTTGAGAAGTCCAACTAGCATCCTTAAATTCAAGCACACAAGGTCTTGTGAATTAACTTACTTGACAATCATCTTCCTTAACTACATCATCAATATAATGACCATCTTCCTAATCACTTGGTTCAGAGTTAATATAATAATATGAAGCAATTATCATATCCAACCGAGCTTCTATCTATAATTATTATGCCAATGTTATGTTCATAAAATCATCACTAATCCCAGATGGACCAGTTTCATGTGATGCTTATGTGGTCCTTTAAGTGTAACTTGGGATTCGAGTGAACTTTATAGTAGAGGAGTTTTCTCATTTAGGTCTACTATTCAAGTGGAGTTCTAGAATTCACAACGTTTTTTTGGGAGTCAACCCAACCTTTCAATTCAAACTATTATCACTAGAAAAGGGCATACCAACCTAATGATTTAGATGAGCCCTAACTTGCATTCTCCAAGTAACGTTAACTTAAATTTTAAAAAATTACACCCAATGCTTTCATAAAAAAAAACCTAATCCTAACCCCTAACATAATGATAAATTAGCAAAAGAAACATCAAATTAATAAAGAAGAAAGATGAATTATACCTGAAATTATTGAAATAAAGGTGTTGTAAGCGGTGGAGGTGGTAATGATATCTATTATCGTGAATGGAGAAAGAGAGAGAGAGAGAGAGGTATTATATCATGGTGGAGAGAGAGAGTTATTGTGTGATAGAGAGAAAGATCGCGAGAGGGAGGGTGGTGTGGGGGAAGGGGAAGGAGTAAAGGACAAAATATACCATAAAGGTGAAGAAAGGGTTCCTAATAATTTTTTTAAATTAACATGGATGTTTAGATTTGTGTACACCTTGACTAATCTAACAAGCTCTAAAGTGAACGACCGTGTAAATTTCTAGTAATAATGAGATTTGTGAGACTCAAACTAGTGACCTATCAGAAGTAAACTAGGACCTGACCAGTAAAGTTATACCTTTCAAGATTGGCTCTTGACAATTTTAATTTGATTAAATGAGTAGGTCGAACCTGTGTGTCTAGAAGGGTTGCGCATATATAACGTGCATGTCTTAGGGTCGCATAGGTGAGACTTGCGTGTCTCAATTAAGTATACTATTTTTATAAATAAGTTTTTAATGATGCTATTTTGTTAAAAAAAAAAAAGAGCCACTATGCTATTTTTCAAAAACAAATCAGCTTTTATTTCACTCACAAAAATGCTTCCCTCCAACAGGAAAAGAAAAGCAAATTGGCTACTCACGGTTGGTTCTTCTTTTTCTTGTTTTATGGATGAGGCTCCTCACGGTTGCATAGGCTCTGCAATTAAGAACATAAGTGGGGTTTACTCTACATCTGCCTTCAAAGTTCTACACAGCTTTCTATTTAAATATGGTCTCAGCATTTGTAAGCTACCACACTGCATTTAGTAGTGATTGAAAGCCTGATTTAATAATATATATATATATATTAGTAAATGGGTCATATGTGTACTTAATTGCACTGTCTAACATATATACCCCAAGTTATAGGGCAAGATCTTCCCTAATATTCATCAGCATAACTTGAGAAGCAAAGTTGGAGTTGTCGAGCACGAAAAAGTAAAAAAAAATTGGTATTTGTCCCTTTCGTGTATGAAAAAGATGTCTCTTTGACGCCTTGTTCCCGTGAATGGATGGTTGCTTGCCCTTACCATTTCTATTAGCTAGATCCCCATTTTTTAATTGGACAAGAATATGCATTAAATTGAAGGCCTGCCATTAAACAGTATTCTTTACTTTTATATGGCTCAATTCATATATTCATGCTTTTCATCGCTTCACATTTACCCTTCCCCAATTACCATTTTTCTTTGGCTCCCTCTCTCTAGCTTCATGTATATATATTTGTTTTTCCTTTTGGAGCTTCAAGCACTTTTTTTTTTTTTTTTTGTCTTGGAACATGTTTTGGGTGTGTTTTAAACATGTATTTATTTTGAAAATACAAGAAGTTACATTTTCCAAACGTATAATTTTAATACATATTTAAGTGAAAAACACTTAAAAATCATTATGTACTGTAATACTAACACTTCACGGGTGTTCATTCTCTACTTTTTCTTTTCTTTTTGTTCTTTTTAACATGGCAATCTATATACCTCAAGAAATTCTCACTACTGGGCCTTCACTTGTGCATGTATTTCTTCACTGTCCTAAGCTGCCTGCATATACAACAATCATGCCTTCTCTTTCTTCTTCTTCTTCCACTTGCACTTTCTTGCTTAGTTTCTTATTTGCTCTAACCGCCTCAAATTGTGCAGCCAGAGAAATCAACAGTACTAGCACCCGACGCCAATTATCTGTCGATTACTATGCAAAAACATGCCCTCAACTTGAGCAACTTGTTGGTTCAGTCACTTCCCAGCAGTTCAAAGAAGCACCAGTTTCTGGGCCAGCCACCGTTCGCCTATTCTTCCATGACTGCTTTGTACAAGTAAACTAAATTCCATTTTCTGCATTATCCTTACCATGCATGCTATATGTTTTAGCTTATTTTTCGGCACATTTTTTGTAACATGCACCGCCACCCATCGTGCATTTTAGCTGATCATAATACTTATTGATTGATAAATTACCTTCTTACTTACACCTGATGCGTGGTTATATTGAAGGGCTGTGATGCATCAATATTGATATCAACAACGCCTGGAAGTAAAGTGTTGGCAGAGAAGGATGCAGAGGACAATCAGGACTTAAGGGTAGAGGGATTTCAGACTATAAGCAAGGCCAAGGCCTTGGTGGAGAGCAAGTGCCCTGGTGTTGTTTCTAGTGCAGATATTCTTGCAATTGCGGCCAGAGATTATGTCCACCTTGTATGTCCCTCATTTTCCTTCTTGAATATCATACTGATTATGCCCTTTCATTTCGGTTTATGCTCTTAGTTAAATTTTTCCATACCAAAAGTTTCTCTATGTTAAGGGTTTGAGTTCTGATGTTCTTTGCTGAAATTGCAAGGTGCTGTAGTGTTATTCCATAGTCTGCTTAGAAATTTAGAAGATAGATTAATAATTTCCCTCTTTTCCGTTGGTGGAAATACGTGTCCTGCATAATGATTACAAAGCAGAAAGGTGCAGACAAAAAAGCAGTTTGCTGATTTTTCCCCGTTTGGTATTGGTTTTGCGTTCAGGACAAGAATTAGGCAAAAGTTGAAAATTTTATTGTTTAAAATTATTATGTTTTTATATTTTTAGATAATTTTAATTATTGACATTAAAAATTAAAAAAAAATATTATTTTAATATATTTATAAGATATTTTAAAAAGTAGTATGTATCCAAAACAAGTAAACTCAACAGACTCTTCATATTTCTGCTTCTCCCTTTTCGTCGTTTTCATCAGAGTCTTCAGGGGTGGTTAAATCAGGTCACCATTAGAGACAAGATCAATCATCATTACATCATGAGATTCAAGTAATACATTATTAAAACACCATGATCTGTATCGATTGATGATGTTATTTTGTCCAGCAATCAAGGGTGTGCCCTGATTTCATCTGTCATGTTTATGTGGCTCAGGCAGGAGGTCCTTATTACCAAGTAAAGAAAGGAAGGTGGGATGGAAATATATCAATGGCGTCAAGAGTACCTTACAACATTCCTAGGGCAAATTTCACAGTTGATCAACAACTAAAACTCTTCAACTCCAAAGGACTGACACTTGAGGACCTCGTTGTTCTTTCTGGTGCTCATACATTTGGATTTGCACACTGTAAGCAATTTGTTAGCCGACTCTACAACTACCGTGGCACTAAGCAGCCTGATCCTGACATGGATCCAAGGCTACTAAAGGCTCTCAGAATGTCCTGCCCACAATTCGGTGGGAATTCAGACACTGTTGCTCCTTTCGATGTGACCACTCCATTTTTGTTTGATCATGCTTATTATGGGAATTTGGAGGCTAAATTGGGCTTGTTGGCCTCAGACCAAGCTCTATTTTTGGACCCAAGAACTATGCCCTTGGTTCTACAACTAGGAAAGGATAAGCATAAATTCTTCCAAGCATTTGCAGCAGCCATGGAAAAGATGGGTTCTATAGGAGTGGAAAGGGGAACATGACAGGGAGAGACTAGGAGAGAATTTAATATACATACATGATTAGATTTATTTATTTTTCTTTCTACCTCTTCTTTTTTCTATTTGGAGGTAGATTTGGATAAAATTCATAAATTATCAAAAGTGATAGCAATATATCCACCTTAAATTTCTCTCCTAGTTATATTTTTTATTTTTTTAAAGTGAGTAATAAGAAGTCACTAATAAGATGAACTCTGAAAATAATTAATAAAATAGCGCTGTATAGGGGGAATAAATGTAAATAATAAACATAATTCTCAAATTAAACCCCAAACTATATTTTATGTCTAGATGGAGTTCCTAAAATGTAATTCTTAATTAGATTTCCAAAGCATTTTCACTAATCTCCAAAACTACATCCATTGATGCATTTCACCATATAAACTGCATGTTTTATGCCATACAAATTATACTATTTGTTATGAACTTCGACTATTTTATTTTATTTTATTTAAAATTCATGATGACATAAGCATAGTTATAAATTTCTGAAACATTTCCGGTTAAAGACTAAACTGAATTTCTCAAAAATAAATAATCAAGATATTTTAGGATCATTATTATTATTATTTGAAGAAGTTGTTTCTTTTAAAAGCCTGTGAAGTTGAAGTGGTCCAATGCTGCGAGGCAAGTTGGTCTATGCCAAGTCTGGCCCATATTAGCTTCGACTGTTGAGGAAGAAAAGAAAAATGCACGGTCTCCACCACTCCCTCTCTACTCTTCCATCCTTCGCCAAGTCCGCCGACAAAACTGCCAAGAAGTCCACCGTTGCCAGCTGCAAAACTCTCCAAATCAGAGCCATGAGAGCCGTAGTCCAGCGAGTCACCTCTGCCAGTGTGGAGGTCACTTTTCCACTCTCCCTCTCCTTCACATCTCTGCAGCATTTTAACAATTGTACTGATTACAGGTTGATGGCCACATGGTATCGGAGATTGGACCAGGCCTTCTTGTTCTTGTTGGGCTCCACGAGTCTGATACTGACTCCAATTCTGATTACATGTAATCTAAAACAAACCCTTTTGGTTTTTTGTGTGTTTAATCGTGTTATTGATAACGGTGTGAGTGATTGAGTTTTAATTTCTGAGTAGATGCCGTAAGGTGTTGAACATGAGGTTATTTACAAACGAGTGTACTGGCAGAGGATGGGACCAGAATGTAATTACTCACCTCTTTCTCTCTACGTTATGTAGACAATTGTTTTTTAATAAATGTGTTGTGTGCATATATGCAGGTTATGCAGAGAAATTACGAAGTTCTGTTAGGTATTCGTTTTACACGCCACCATCTTGTTGAGCCAAGAGAGAAAAAACAAACAAAATTACAATAACAACTTGCAGTTTCGAATTAAAGGGATGATTTTCTTAGCAATGTTGTAAAGCTATTGGGATTTTGTTTTGTTTTTGATTTTGTGTTTAGGTGCATATAGTTATAATGCTAGTTGCCTGTGTTTTGATAGTGAGCCAATTTACATTGTATGGAGTGTTGAAGGGAAACAAGCCGGATTTTCATGTAGCAATGCCACCCCAGAAGGCAAAACCTTTCTATGAATCTTTGGTTGATAAATTTCGGAAAGCTTACAGACCGGATGCAGTTAAAGGTACTCTCATTTGCTTGTTTCTGTTTGTTTTTGTTCTTGGTTGGTTATGTTATCATTTCATTCACACAGTTAGTAAAATACATCAAAATAATATATTTTTAAAAATTTTGTTTTTGATATCAACACATTAAAATAATCTAAAAATACCCCAACAAATTAGTTTTAAAAAATAAAATAAATTTAATTTTTTTCAGAATAGCTTTTCCACTGCAAAAACAAATACAAACAGGCTTAATACTGCACTTGTTGCCTCTTAATGTGGCTTGACGTCACAACTCATTGCTGCATGATATCCTAACTCCATGTGTAGATATAATATGTATGAAGTGAGGTGGCAGATAATACTGAAAAAAATTGGATATAATTATGAAATACATGCAGTTTAAAAGTTTTCAATGAAGAATAACTGTATTTTGCTAGAGCCAACTGTCTGCAGTTTGGCACATCCCCGCCATTTGTTCTTCAAATTGGAAGCGTGAATGTTTGATGTAAATGTACGATTAACGTTATGAGTGAATTACTTAATTCTCACTACATTCTTCATCCTATAATTGCTTCAGAAATGATTGTGTGATCTATTCCCTTCCTGAATTTTTCAATTGCTTTTTTTTTTTTTTGTGGTTTAGATGGTGTATTCGGAGCAATGATGAAGGTACAATCTGCCATGCCAAATTCTTACCTTTGCCCATTCTCTTCAGGGTCGCAATTTTTTCCTTGAGGTCCATTCCCTGCAAATTCTTACCTTTGCCCATTCTCTTCAGTGTCGCAATTTTTAGGTCCATTCCCTAACTTTGATGCTTTGGATGGTTTGAAGGTCAATTTAGTGAATGATGGACCGGTCACAATGCAACTTGACTCTTCACAATCATCCAAGTGAGTGCCAGCAGCTGATCACTACTGGTTCGGTGAAAGTTGTTTATTGTCATGATTAATGTCAACATTTAGGGTTTGAGTTCAATAACTAAAGTCTGGAGCCATTTCAGGAGCACTAATGAGGAAACAGGAAAAACCATTAATTGATCGGTTCATGTGGGGATTGAAATTTGCAGCTGATCTAATATCTTCTTGTGAGATAGAAGTTAACAACATTTAGCGTCTACTAGTGGATGTAAAGCAATTTATGATTAAGCAGGGGGTCTTTTTACCTGACAAGTTGGATGGTGATTGAGGCTTCCATGCCAGCTCTGCTGAGCTGCACAATTAGCCGACAGGCCAGCCCACTCTGAGCCTCTTTATCTGTCTCCACTAGTATATGGTTCCAGCTGAATAAGTGATCATGCAATTGGACAGGGTTACCCTTGTTAATCACATTATTCAACCGATGTTACTCAAAATTACTGTACTCGTATATTCTTGAAGGGAAATTGCATGTTATACGCCACTCTTTTCTAATTCTGTGAGCAGGTCTGATGCCCACTCTCATTATTCAGGTGTATAATTCTGTGCTAAAGTAAATCACTATCCTTCTTTGTAGGTATAATGAATCACTTAATAGATGATTACGATTTGTTTGGGGTCACTCCCGAATACTTTTGTGGCTGCAGCTACTGCGGCAGCTCCACCCTCCATCCTCGAGAACCTAATATTCATTGCTTTCTTTAGAAATGCTGTTGAATGCTGTTGAATCTCATTCGCGTGTTAACAAGGCAAAATGTAGGGAGGAATTCAAGAAGGCCAGAAGAAAATAGTATGATATTTAAGTTACATGATCAATTTAGCTACAAAAGGTATGAATAGCTTACAGAGATATTCTTTAAAAATACTTCAGAAGAGCATGTCCACCTGGTAACAAAATGTTCGGATTACCTGCATCCTTTATACATGAGCTCCTGTCTCTGTTGAGAGGATTGTTGCTGCAGTAAACAGGGCCTCCTTTCCAATTGGCAAAATCTCCATCTTCCTGTACCGTGATCAAATTTTGCCAAGATCTCGTTATTATGATGATGTACCTTCCATTGAATAAAAATGATGATGATGATGTAGGATACTGTTTTTGATTTCCATTCAGAAAGATACCAAGGTTATCACTCTCTATCACCTTCAGCGAAGCAGCATTGCAGAATGCCATGTCCGCCAGCTAATTTGTGGGCAATTATTTGCACATAAAGCCTAGTCTTATGCCTAGATTTTTATCATCATAAAACATAAATTGTGGCAATAAAAACTAAATATAGATTCTTACGCATCTGTTCTTCTCAAATTACTAAATGCGGAGATTATATTCTCGCATATTTCCACCAGAGAGGTGCTCCTTCCTTCATCCTTCGAAGCAGAGATGCCATCAGCATCTTGTTGAGATGACGATGACAAATGTGCCTGAAAAGCGTCCAAAATTCGATCAAATCAAAACAAGAATCGTACTGGGCAAACAGGGCCCAGATCTTTCACCTTTCACTAAACCTATTTACAGAAGAATATTGTCACAAAACCTTATAATTGGGAAAAAAAGAAAAAACCATTTTTTTACTAAGAAACAAATTTAGAATTTCTTAAATGACAGTACCCCTGCCACTAAGATTTAGGAATTGTCTCACCTACAAAATGAACAATCACAGATGAACAAATCCCTGACAAATTTCCAACGATTTTTCTTTATCTTCTTTCACATATTGATTTGACAATTGACTAGAGTGGGGACATGTTAAATTGCCTGGAAAATGGGCAGCAAAACCCTTTCGCTTCTAAATTTCTAAAATCCATAATGAACCCCAACCACATCACGGATTCTTGGTAGGAAGGCCACTGTATGACGTTAGGAAATACCTCCAAATGGTGTTCAAAACTTTAAGCTATTTATTTCAGAATTTAAGAAACACAAACTCCCAACAACTATACATTGCAGATGAAATTGTGCTCATAGAAATAGCATGATGTATATAAGCAATCACCGAAGCCATAATATGAAATTTCAGGGCATGAAGGCAATGTGAAAGGAGTCTATATATGCAATAGACCATATTTGTAAGCAAAAGTACTAGCACCGCCCAAATTTAGGTACTTGCAATGTTGACTATTGTATAGCTAGTTGAAAGCAAGAATAATCACCTGAAAAGCATGTGCTAAAAGCACCTGAACTACATCTGCTTTTATCTTTTTTGAAATGCTTCGTGTGTTGGTGATATTGGAAAAGCAGTTTAAGACTCCACTGAATGTTGTTGCATCCTCAGTAGGACCATTTGATCTCCGAGTGCGAGTGGACAGCTACAGAAGAAAATATATCCCCGTAAACAAGTAATCATAGTTATAGATGCTTTCAACCACCTACATGTTTACCAAAAAAGCTTTGGGGAAAATGCACATTATTTTATATGACAACAATATTGACAGCTCACTTACCCTAGTGGTGTATTTTGAAAAATACTGCAAGATGATTTCGAGCTTCCACTTAGGCTCGTTAAATACCTGCAAATCATTCTGATCATGAGAAGAAAAATCTTCACTTGCTTGATTAAACAACTTCAACAGATATATTAAACAACATAAAAAATAGATAACAGGAATCTAAATGGAAGACTGCTTACAATTCTAAATGCAACACCTAATCATGCAAAAAATAGCATGAAAATATCAGAAAAAAAGAGCCCATGGTTTAGCACCTACAGACCATCTGAGAATGAAAGCTTGCTAAAACCAGCTAATAAAGAAAGCATATAAATAATGGAAAAAAGTGAAAGAATGATATTTTATTTTGAGGTTCTGGCCAAAAGTGATCTCTGATTCCAAAGACAGGAAGCCAGAACAAGACTAGCACCCCCCACACCTAAATCTTTCAGAGATTCTGCATCTTTATGAATGCATAACATACACAGAAGGGAGCACATGACAACTTAAAAAGGATACCTTAAGAAATGGAGAAAGCATATCTGTATCGTAACTTAGCTCATCCAAAATTATCTCCATTAGAGGGGTCCTGAATCAAATCACAGCAGCATGTTCACTTTACCCAATCAAAAATCACAGAGATAAATGAGTGCAAGTAAATACCTCACACCATCAGCTCTGGTTGTATAACCTTGCATGTCTGCTTTCTTCCTGGACATGTCAAGGTCCATAATCTAGAAAAGTCAACAGCATCAGAGTTTATAGAAAAGATGATTTTAAGTATTCTTAAATCAAGGAGTCTTTTTAGTGACTTGCCATTATCAGAAGTTTTTGCAAGGCAATACAAGCATTATTTCCTAATTCAAATAAAGCTAATGCTGAAGCCGTATTGCCATTATGGGATGGTTTTGAAGCAGCATTGTCAGGAGATTCTAGATCATCACTTATTCCAGCAGAAACGCCAAACAATCCACACATAATGGACAAGCAATCTTTCATCAAGCCTTTGTAGTTTATTCTTCTTGTACTCTGCAAAATAAATATGATACAAGATATTCACATCTTCAAACATTTAATAGCCACACAATGCCTCCAAGTAGGAGAAAAGGTATAAATTAAAATGGAAGAAATGGCAATTAAAAATTTTAGAGGGCTGAAGGTTACAAGACATCAATTAAGGATTACAGCATCACACTCAATGAGTAACAAGGTACATTGAGATTTACAACTCAGAAGGTGAGGATATACCAAAAGCATGTTGAGCAAAGACTCCCTTAGGTGGGTCCAATTCATGGTTTCTGCAATACAATAATAAGCTCTTTATATCTCAAAAGTACCAAAAAGCATACCAACAAGGCATGCAATAATACCTTCATACACCCTGTTACGTGGTAAAAAGTCTCCTTCAAGAGCATTGACAAGATATTTAAACAGCAACATGTTCCTCAGTGACTGAAAGAAAGGCATGTCAGAAGAATGCTCAGCAAGTGACTGAACGGGGAAGAGCATCCCAACCTTCATAAAATTTAAATTGAAAAACCTATGAACAAGCGTGCTATTAGGACCTAAAAGACAATGCACAATTTGTCTTATCTCTTATTTACTTGAAAAAAGAATAAATAAACTAACCTTTATTTCTAATGCTTGAAGTTTTCGCTCATTAGCCACTTCAGCAAGTTCTTGCATTAACTGAAGGAAACCCTGAGAATAACAGAGCCAACAAAATAGAATAAAAAAGCAGGATGCAGGTAACAAACATCAGCTTTCACTAACAAACAACTTCAAAGAAATTATTCAAAACCAGGAATACTATCTGGTGGTGCAATCTTTAAATCACAAGAACAAGCACCTCTTAATGAAAAAAAAAAAACACAATTCAACCACTGTGATTTCAATCACAACCAACTCACTGATGAGTCAAGTGGTCCACTAATGCTTCTGCCACCAGCTTCCCTCTCTCTAGATGCCTTTTCCAAATTAAAAAGAAATGGCGACCAGCCCTAATATCCAGCAACAAAAGAATGTAATATCTATCATCATCCTCATCAAAATACGGCAATTAGAAACATTGATCAAATACACACTTCGATAAAAGCAAAACTTAATACCTCCTCTACCACGACTAGGTGAGATGACTCTGATGCTTCTTTCTCTGACAAATACACGCGTGGAAAACGCTAAACGCAGGAAGACAAAAACAAAAATAAAATCTTCAAGTATCCCAAGTCCAAACTCAGATTAAGATAAAGTAGTAAAAAAAGCAAGTCCAAATTAAGATTAAATTAACAGTAAGGTCCAGAAGGAAACAATTAAGTACCTTATCCAACTCATTTAAAAGGCGAAAACTTTCCGTAATCAATTCCAATGATTTCCCAACCCTCAAAATTTGAAACACCGCCTCACGCATTTTGCTGCTTCATAGAACAGTTTCCAAAATATTAACCAAAAGGAAATTTACAAATATAATTTTTTTTTTTTTTTACGATTTGAAGAAAATTAAAAAGGAAATTAATCACCTTGTTGGAGGATTTTCATTAACAATACAAGCGCTGCGAACTGCTTCCAGAAATGCAAGCCCTAGCGTTTCAATTTAAAACGCGATTAATTAAAAATTAATTAGCTTAGATTAAAAAGTGGTATGGAAAAGGCTTACTGTCATCGTTGGCGTCTGGTGTGTGTTTAGAATCGGAGACGGAGTCGAGGATCGCTAAAAGGTTTTCTTCGATGCCTGCTCTCTTCATTCTTCTCTCCACTAGAAACCCTAGGAGGAGGAATTGTTAATTTGGGCTTCAGAATGGCCGCCAAAAAAGATTTCTATTATTTCCCGCCTAAAATCCTTTTTTCCCTTTAACTTCTCTCAAGAATGTTTGTTCGGAAAAGTAATTTTGAAGAAATTATTTTTTAATTTTTTTATATTTATTTATTATTAGAAAAATTAATCAAAAAATATTTTTTGATTAATAAAAAATACTTTTTAGTTAACAGAAAATACTTTTTGATTAATAAAAAATACTTTTCAATTAAAGAAAAATTTGGTTTGGTTTTCAGGAAAGTATTTTTTATTTTTGCTGTATTTATTTTCTGGAAAATGATTTTCAAGAAATCACTTTCCAAACTTTCTTGTGTTTGTTTACTGTTAGGAAAGTTGGTTAACGAAAAATATTTTCTAGTCAAAGAAAAATTTGGCAAGGTTTTCAGAAAAGTATTTTCCTGAAAAATTTGGATGGAAAACACTTTTCAAAAGTTGTGAAAAAATTTAGAAATGTCAATTTTTGCTGATTATATCAAATTTGATCCTCAAACTTTTGATTGCTATATATATTTTGTTTTGAATATTTATTTTTTAATTTTATTTCTTAAAATTTAATTTTTATATTAACTTTGATCCTTATTTTTATAATTGTTATTTGCTTTTTTCCTATTATTTTTTTATTGAAATCTTTTATCTATCAAATTTGATTCTCATTCTTTTGATTGTTACTTATTTTATTTGAAATACTTTATGAAATGTTAATTATTATTATTTTAATTTCTTCATCTTTTTTTTTAGATTTAATCTTTATTATTTTGATTATTATTTATTTTATTTGAGATAATTTATGAAATTATATTTTTTCAATTTCATTCTTATTCAACTTTTTAATTTGTAAGATTTGTTCCTCATTATTTTAATAAACTTGAGAAAAATAAAATATTAATAAATTATTTATTAGTTTATTTTTCATAACATAACTAAACATTGGAAAGTGTTTTGGAAAAAGTTGAAGAAATAATAGATATTATAAAAAAAAATAGGAGGGGAGAAAAGTTTCCGTTGTCGGGACTTGAACCTAGGTCTGGGTCTCTCGGGTGAGAGTCAAGCATCCTAACCAACTAGATTACAATGGAATGTTGGCAATCTTTTCTCTAATTTAAATAAAATAAAAAAGTGAAAGGTCAATGAGGGCACATACCAATTAAACTTAAAAAAACCAAAAAACAAACAACATAAAAATTCAAACCATGAAAAAAAACTAATTAAAATAATTAAAAATATTTAAAAACAGACCAGTTTGGTTTGGTTAAGTATCAGTTTAATAAGCCTAAAATTGAACAAAACCAAGCTGAAAAAACTAAGTCAAACTAAAATCAAACCCATTAGAAATTACAAATAAAACTCCAAAAAAACTCCAAAAAACAATATAATTTTTTTATTTTTAATATAAAATAACCAAAGTGAACCGAAAATGAGTTGGTTGGGTTTTGAATTTTGTCCTAAAATAACCGAACCGAACCAAAATTAGTGGGTTTTAACCAGTTTTTTTAAATTTTATTTGGTTATTTTTTAAGTAAAAACCGAAACGAAACAAAAATGATCATCCCTAGTTGTAATTCAATCATATTTTTGATGGTAATGTGCATATAAAACCTAAAATGATATTGTTGTTGCGAAATATAGTTTGTAAACAGTAGCACTTTAACTCCTTTTGAGGGGATGAAGCTAATATTGTCCCGTGAACATTAGATCTACAGCATTACATATACAAGTGGTTGGTATTTTGATGAAGTTCACTTTCAATTGGAGATTACGAAAATATAAATTGTCTCAACTTCTATTTATATATAGTTGTGTTGTCTACATGAATATATAGGCTTTTAACACATTTAACATCTACACACATCCTATTATTATTATAATAATCTTATGTAGTAAATTGACAAAGCGTTTAAAAAATGTAAAAGAAATTTCAAAAACAACATAAATGGAGGAGAGAATAAGGAAAGTCATGAGAAATTAATTGAAACGCTGAGGAATCTAAGTAGTAGACTTTTAGAATGAATTTATGAGATTCTAAAGTAATAAACAACCTTGGTTGTAGCTCAAAGGTGGTGTTGAACTACTTGGCCAATAAATGTAGATGTTCAAATAAAGAAAGTTAGCTTTAATACAACTAACATGGTTGGTATTGTATGTTTTGTGATGGATTAATGTATTTTATATATGTTTTTTTTATAAGTCTATAATAAAAAAGATAAAATAAAAAAATAGGTTAATAATTCAATATATTTAGGTTTGGCAGAATGTTAAACATAAAATGATAGGGTCAGACTTGCTTCTAAACCCAATATTTTTAGGTTCAATTAGATGTTGAGTCGATATATATATATATATATATATATATATATATAAGTTTATATATATATATAAGTTTGATAAATTAGCATACCTATTATCATTAGGTTTAGCTATGAGTCTATATATATATGGATTTGATGAATTGTTAGACTCAATATGATTGAGTTTAACTATATGTTGAACCCATATATATATAGGTCAAGTATAAATGGGTCTCAAAACTACTAGACCCATCACCCTTGGATTTAGAATCATTTCAAGTCCAAATTTATATACAACTAATGATTATTATAGGTTCCATGTTGGGTCATAAAGCTTTGTTTATCAATTTTTTAGGCTATTAACATAAAAAATTAAAAGTCATCTCCTTACACCCCTAGGTATATAAAAAGTCTTATAATGACCAATCATATTTCCATCAATATTAATATTATGTAAGCGATATCTATTCTTCATTAATATTATATAAGAGATATATTTCTCTCATAATGTTATGTAATGAATATTTATCTCTCATTAATGTTGTAAAAAAAAAATGACATTCCAACCCCTTTATTCAAGCAATATAATAAGGTTTAGGGGATATATATACCCCTAAACCACCTAGATAAATGATTCATATTTTTCTATTCTTTAAGTATTCATACTCTTATTCTTAGAGCATTTATCACACACAAGAACAAAAATTCTTGTTTTTAGAATTTAAATCACATTTATAAAAATCTTTGACTTTATTATTAGAGGGTCTTTAAACCTTACTAAAAGGGTTTATTTTGTAGGTGTTAGGTCTTCTACCACTAACCATCAATTTCGTAAACTATAGAGAAGGGAATATTAACATGAGCGTGAGATTACCCATTATCTAAACACTTAAAAACCTTATTTCTGAGTATTCTGGATTTTGAAATATCATTAGTTTTTATGCCTAACCTTTACCAAAGGACTCTGTCTAGGGCTATTTTGATAAGAAAAGGGTAGTACAAACATTAAAATTAAATAGAATTTGAGCTTTGATAATGAAACTTTTTCTTTTTTTTATTAACAAATAATCATTTTTAAAGTGAAATATTGACATGTTCAAGCATGTTAGTTCGATTCACAAATGTTTTTAGAAAGTTTCATTTGAAAAAGCAAAGCATCTCAACTACATTATATATTATTAAAACTGAATAAACTTTTCAGTGAAGTATATACTTATAATAGGTTAAACCACCAACATCCAACAAATTAAAAGTTCTATGTACTTAAGTGGAAGTTGCACATAAAAACTACCCTTAAGTTCTTGCACAAGTGGAACACCTATTATCCAATGTTTCGGTTACTTCTTCCCCACATAAGAAATTGTTGCCACTAAAAAAGAGCTCTCAGTTAAATAGTCAGTTAAGAAAGAAAAGCTCCTGATGTAGTGAGAGAAGCGATCTTAAGCTGTGTCTATGTTCTTCCCTTATTATGTACCATTCTTCTTCTCTTGTTACTATCCTTTGCTACTAAATGTTCTTCTTTGGCCACTATAAAGAGATCAAAGTCCAAATCTTCATTCCACCTAAGGTGATTTTCGACTTCAAACCGAATGCCATGCATCTGCCTCTCATAAGTTGAGGGTTCAGTCTCGCAGCTGCTTGCCAGTTAAACATGGCTCTATTTCTCCTTCTTCAACCTCCACTCCACCTAGAACAAATGTTGTATTTGATGATTTTACTAATTTCTCAAGTATGGCTAGGGTTTCGTCCAAACACAAGAACATAACTATACAAATGAAGGGTTCTCCTGCTTAATCTTTTCTCCCTTCCTCTTTTGGTGGTTGCAATAGTGGCTCCTCTGGTAGCTCTAGGGCAAGCCCCTTGCCTACAGAACATCCAATTAGGTCTAATCTTAGAGGTTTCTGTCTGGGCTTAGGTGGCCCCAACCCTGCCCCGTATATTGTTTCTCCCTTCCAACCATCATCTTGAAAGAGTCATCCTTCAACATTTCCTTCTTCTGTCACCCCTTCCCCTATAGATGCCACCTCTCTTGCATCCATAGTGATGGATAAGTCTTTGTATGGTTGTAGTAGAGGTGCTCTAGTGGGCTCACCACCAGGTTCTTTAAATTCCCAATCTCCTGCCCTTGTTCACTTTTTAAAATATGCTTCCTCTATCTCATGTCCTTTTCAGGAAACTGATGTTAGTAATCTTGTTGCTCAGTGGAAATATTATTTAATTGGATATATGGTTGGGAAATTCCCAGGTTATGCTTCTATGTTAAGCTATTTTAGTAGAACCTGGCAGTATAAACCTTATTTCACCATGTATTATTCGAGGTGGCTAATCTTTACCTTCTACTTTGAAATAGATATGCTAGATGTTTTAAGAGGAGGTCCATATTCTATTTTTGGCAAGCCTGTTATCCTGAGAGTAATGCTTGAGTTCTTTGATTTTCGATCTTCTCATATGTCCACAATGCCAACATGGTAAGGTTCCCTAATTTGTCTTTAAGATGCTAGAACCCAATTTGCTTATCGAAAATTGCTAGCATGATTGGGAAGTCAATCTATTGTGATGATCCTATTGCACAAATGATCCAACTCTCGTATGTTAAAGTTCTTGAAATTGACATGCTCTCTGATTTGCCATCCTCTATTAATGTGATTCTGCCCAATGAAACCTCTTTGGCCTAACAGATTGTGTATGAATCACTTCTATATTTTTGCAAGCAGTGTAAAATCCTAGGACATTCAACTATCTCTTGAACAAAAAG